ACATACAAACACACACAGACACAGACACATGCAGACAGGCACACAGACACATGGACACACACACACAGACACACACACAGACACACGGAGAGACACACGGACAGACACACTGGGCAGCGGGGGACCGGAGGGGAATTTGGCAAGAGCTCTCAAGCGCCATGAAAACGCGCATTCCATCTGGCAGCGATCCGGTCTCCAGACGTCCATCCTGGGGAAGCGGCTGAGCCGTGAAGCAGACGCGGACACAGGGCCCTGACTTCTGTGCGGCAGGAAGTAGCAGAGCCTGTGGACGGTCTGGAGCGAGCGTGTGAAGCCCAGGCACCCAGGCGGTGTGAGCCCAGCGCTGTCCCCAGCCTGCAGCCACAATGACACCGGCAAGACACAGGACAAAGGCCGTGCGCAGGGCCACAGCCCTCGGGGAACGTCTGCCTCCACGGCTCATGGCGAGGCACACGGCTCATGGCGAGGCACGCGGACACATCCTGCGGGTGCACGCGCATCCGCGGACAGCGCTCCCCCGTGTGCAAAACGTCTCTGAGAGGACGCGCATGTGGGCACCAACAGAGAATTACTGTGACTTTCATTCCATTCTGCTTTGCTTATCTCAGTGTTTTTCTAATAAAAGTCAGTTTTCTGAAGGAAAGAGAAACGGTATTCAGAAATGCCTGCGCAAACACTGCTGGGCACTTAGTGCGTGTCTGTCGTGTTTCAGGCACTGGGAGCTTCCACCTCACCAAATCCCCGCCAGCCCTGGCGTGCAGTCCTACCATGTCTCCCCACGACTGATGGAGAAACTGAGGCTCAGACAGAGACCCAGCTGGCCAGCCAGCAGAGGGGTCTTCTGAAGGGCTTTTCCACAAAGATGTTCAAGTGGAAGGAGGCGCTGCCCCGCCTGGAGGCCTGACCCCTTTCTCGGGGGACCTGGCGGGCAGGTGAGTGGACCACGCCCTGTGGGCTGCAGGGAGCGGGGATGCACCCTCACCGTGTCAGGCAGGCCCACCACTTGCAACTAGAACAAGCCCTTCCTGAAAGCAGCTAGAGCAGGACTTCACTGTCAGCTCCCCGTGCTCCCCAGTGCCTGCTGCTCACAGAGGAGGGTCTAGGACCGGCCCGGGGCACACCCTGCACCCCTCTGACGTCCAGCAGCAGTGTGGGGCACGGGGTGGCATGGAGTATGGAGCAGCGTGGGCACACCTCCCCTGTGCCCTCCAGGAGTGACTGCACCACTCCTCTGCTCTGGTGAGAGACAGGAGTGCATAGAACTCCCCTTTGGGGCGATGAGGAAAAACCTGTCACCCAGCCCCCAGATGTTTGACACCAATGCACCCCCTCAAAGGACCGGGTCTGAAGGCGCCATGACTGCCCCCAGCGCCATGAGGGTTTTCCTGTAACACCACGGAGAAGCAGTGAGGCTGAAAGTCTGTAACACCACAGAGAAGCAAACGATGTCTGGCTTGCGTTCTGCAGATGGCTCTGCCAGCTGAGACACATGCCGCTTGGTTTTGTCTTGACCTTTATTAACCTAATGGAGGCGATGGATTCATTTCCCCCTAATGGCCCCTCGGACTCTCTCATTAGGGGAGGAACCATTGGCATTTCCACAATCACAGAAGTGGAACATGGCCCCAGGACCACAGATTTACTCCTCTAAGGGGGCCGTGCTACGTGGCCACCTGTGCTAAGAACGGATCAGAAACAGCATGGCTGCAAGGCTTGTCTGTGTGGGAAGGCGGGAGAAAGACCACGGGACCGCTCATGGTCTCTGCCATGGGGGCCACACACCTGCCAGGCACACTCTGCCTCAGGGCCTTTGCACATGCCGCCCCTCGGCTGGGCATGCCTTTCCCTGCGGCCGCACGGCTTCACACCTGCTCCAATGTGGTGTTCCTGCCCTGACTCTCCCATCTAAAATGACAACCCCCATCCCTTCCCTGCCCGTGGTGTTCTACAGGAGTCACAGACAGCGTGCCACACACCGGATGCATTTACCCGAGGTGAGCAGACACCCTGCTGAATCCCCAGCACCTAGGATGGCGTGGGAGACACCAGTAAGAAATTCAACAAACGGATAGCTCGCTCTCCCTGGACGTGTTCCCTGCCCCTCCCCCCCAGGCTCGGGTGTCTAGCAGGTCACAGAGAGGCCCTCTCCCTATCAGATGGTTCCTGTATTCATTCTACAAATGCACGCAACACTGACTTACGGGGTTGCCCACGGCAGCGGATGAGGCGGTGCGGCCCGGGCCTTCACAGGCTTAGTCCTATGCCAGCAGGGTGGGGAGGGCGAGGCGCCAGCGAGGGGCCCTGGACAGAGCTGCAGGTGGGAGGAACCCGCCGGGGGGGGGGGGGGGCGGGGGGGGGGGGGGGGGAGCAGGGGGGGGAGGGGGGGGCGGAAGGGGGGGCCGGGCCACGGCCCACGGAGGTGGGGGGGGCATTGGGCGGGGCTGCGGGTCCCGGGAGGGAGCTTGGGCTTCGTTCTCAGGGGCAGGGGAGCCCTGGGGCCCTCTGGGCTTCTGCACGCAGTGGGTAAGGGGGACAGGGCGAGGCCGGGTGGGAGGAGGGGCCGCCACAGACCGCCCCCAGCCATCAGCATCTCCACGGAACAGTGGCAGGTGTCTGCTCTGGGGACAGATGGAGCGCGCCTGGGCACCCCGCCCTCACCCCTCTGCGCCCGTCTCCGGCCCCCGGCGGGAGGGTTTGTGGGGAGACTTGCGGACGGGGCTGTGGCCCCAGGCGGCTGATGGGCGTAGGTGAGCTGCCCCCAGCGTCCCTGCTGCAGAGGCACCAGGGCCGGCGTGACTCCGGCCCCCGCAGCGGGCCTGCCGGCACCGCACTGGAAGTGGCCGCGTCGCTGGTCCTCCCGGCTGGCTCACCAGGGTCCGTGTTAGCCCCGACCTCTCTTTCCCGTCCCCGCCCCGCATTTTCCCTTCTCCCTCTGTATATATAATCTACGTCACCTTGTGGGGATGTTCCTGTTTCCTGGCGAGCTACCTTGAACCCAGCAGCAACAGAAGTAGAAAGGAATACATACGAACACACACGTCTACGTGGTTTATATGCGTAAAGAATACGTAACACACGTGAAGCGATGCCGTGTGAGCGGGTCCACCGAGAGCGTCTACACCATATTCACATCTGTATCCACACCACGTCGCCTCCCTCCACAAACCGGCCCCGAGCCCCCACCGCCCGCAGCGTCGGCCCCAGAGCCCTCCCCTCACCAGGCAGGACCCTGCGCAGCCCTGTGCCCAGACCCCACTGTGCAAAGTGGAGACAGAGGTGGGACGTTCAGGTCCCACCCATGGCCGCAGCGCCGGGGGGCTGAGCATAGCCAGGCACTGGGGTCTCCTTTTGCTGATGCCCCTCTTCAAACACCCCAGAGGGCTCCTGTCTATGCTAACGCCCACCTCCAATGCCTCGTCGGCCACCCAGCTGAGACCTGACCCCATCCTTCCTCCACCATCTGAGCACCGAAACCATCAGTGGCTGCTGGCTGTCCATGGGGACGCCTCACCTGTGGGGCTGGGGGAGCTCTGCCACCTTCTGTCTGCCACCCCCCGTGACCTCGCCTTTACCAGGCATCAACCCCACTTCTGGACTCCACAGGGCAGGACGCCCCCTCCCTGTGGTCACTTGCCACATGTGGCCTCTGCTGGGTGCCCCCTTCCCAGCGGGGCATCCCCGTGCCACGGCCCCCCAACACACAGCGCTCCGCCTGTCCTCCAGGAGAGCCCCCCTCATGGGACTCTGCTCCTTTCCCTTTCTCTGACCTGCCAGATTCTCAGGGATGGTGCCTCCGCCCTCCGGCCAAGCTCTGCCCAGCTAGGTCGGGCTCCCAGGGGAGTCGCTGTCCCTGCAGGACTGGTTCCTGGCATTGAGGACCCCTGGTCTTGGGAGAACCACGTTGCACCACTGTGGGGGGCTCGGCCTCTCCTCCTGCTTCCTCTGGGGATGGGGTTGTCCGCCTCCCCGGCCCCCGTGCGTCCTCACGCCTGATCCCTCTGCCCTGTTTCTCCCTCCCTGTCCTGTCCCCCAAGACAGCTTCTGCCCAACCCTGCGGGCCCCCCTGAAGCCACAGCACAGCCCCTGCCTGGCCTCCTCCCACCACAGGCTGACATTCCCTGCCTGTTCCACTGGGCTGGCCTGACCCCGCTCTGTCCGCCGGGGAGGACCCTGGAGGTGCCTCTGCTCCGAGCCCAGGGGGTCGTCAGGGCCACGCGCAGACCCTCCTGCCCTCGGCCCAGCCGGGCTTGCTTTGGAAGGAGACGGGAGCAGAGAGTTTTCAGGGCCTCCCACTGCCCCTGCATGGACGTCCTCTGCTGTCCTCACTGGGCTCCCACTCCCCCCCCACCCAGCCCAAGCGTCAGGGGATAGCAGCCCGGCTCCCCGGCCCCCGCGGGGTCTGCAGCGTGGGCGGACGGCTCCTAGGACCCCTGTGTGCGCACAGACCCGCAGCGGCCTCCCTGGGGGACAGAGGGGGCTCAGGCCCGGAGCACGGCACACACACAGCTTGCCCGTCACAGGAGGATCGGGAACCATTAGTGAAGGATTCGTATTTAATGATCAACACAGTCGAGAAAAGTCAGCATCCTCAAGAATCTGCCAGAATAACCTCCTGATTCCATTTTCAACATGTATGACTGAAGGTTGACTCTAAATTTTCTATTTAAAATTAGACCGTGTCAGAGAATTAAATAGAATTGCCAGCAACTCTGAAATCCTTCAGAGAACCTGAGGTTTGGTAGAAGCTCAAT